AATATCAAACAGCGTATTAAGCATGAAATTGACGCATTATCGAAGAAACTTCCGGTTCCCATCTCGGCAAAATATAATTAATTGAACTAATTCGTACATAATACTCCTCTACCGGCTGTCGATTTACACACACTGTTACTTCCAATTAGTTTAATTAAACGATCGATTGATGTCAGCGAATAATACAGAAATAATAATAATAATAATACGTATGTGTATCATTCGTTTCTAATTATCTTTGAATAAGTTGTTATAAAGTGTCGTTAGTTGAACACACCCACAGATATCAATTTGAAGCAAATACATATTTATAAAAAACCTCATCGTAATTCTGGATAAAATTGGTGAGGTTCTAGATAAGATACGAAAAAAGAAGGCGATTTGTAAATCAACAAGTAAAAGTAGATACACGGGATGGTAGAACACCTTCTGATGCATATAAGATTAATTAGAGACATTAAAAGCAAATGCAGAAGTAAAAAGGACATGAAGAAGATCTAGATTAGATTAGTGCTCGCAAATAGTAAGAGGTATGAGTTAATCCAGTTTTCGGGAAATCAAAAGATTGGCTTAGGAAAGGTCATGACTTTTGATGATAATTTTCAGCATTTAAGACAATTATTGTGTCAGTAAATAAAAAAATTTGTTCTTAAAAGAATTATTAAAAAAGAAGTAAGTATCAGATTGAATGAGACAGACCAAAACTTAACACGCAAGATCAAGGCCAAGATTGAGACTATATCAGCAAGACGAAGACCAATACCAGGACTAGAAGTATTTGCGCAAGACCAATACCAGAACTGGGACGGTCTTGGTTTTAGTCTTGCGTTTTAAGTCTTGATCTTAGTCTTCCTTTGCTCATTACTAAAATATTACAAACTATCTTCCTAATCTATGGATTTCTTTCTTTTTTTGTCGCTTATGTACGCCACTGAGTATCAAATAAGTAAATATATTCCAAACTGTGTCACAAATGACTTCACAAACATTTCTTTTAATAGGTACCGCCGCGATACACAAAATTAGATACATCTGTACATGAAAATTGGTATTTTACATCTGCAATTCTGTTTTAATTTTGTAAGTAATTAATTCAAACATAGCTATATTATAATTATTAATTATTTAGCTACAAACATGAGGTTTAATCTCCGTATAATTAAACTTCTACCACAGGTATTTAACCCGTAAAATCCTGGCTGATTAATACATAGTACATAATGTAGACATGTGATTTATTTGAAACTGTTCTAATATTCAAAATACAAATAGAAAATGCAAAATGCCTATTACTATTGTTACATATTTTAAATGCTGTTTCTATGTATTAATCTCTATTGGTATTTGAAATCCTCTTTTCTGTTTTGAAAATACTAAATGCAAACTACGATTACTTACAGTAGTCCTTTGTGATATCTTCCCCAATGATACGTTAAGATAAGATTAAAAGTAGTCAGAAGGAGGTGTCGATACAGTTGAGTTATCTTTATCTAATCACTGTCATAAGTGAATTCCAAAATCCTTAAAATAGATAGAAGAATACCTGAGGTAGTAGCACTGCATAGAGAAGTAGAAAAAGCTTCTATTAAAACACCAATAGCCCGCTGTAGCATTTTATTTTAAAAATTATTTAGGAAATACTTTCTTCTTATGTTCTATTTCGAATTCATTTTTCAAAACAGTTTTCAGTTAAAGAAATGATTTCATATTTTGCATCTATCTTCTAATTCCAACCATTTTTCACATTTCAGACATAAGCATTTGTGTATGTGTGTAATAAAGAAGTTCCAACTAATTGGGTCAGTGATAATAACAAAAATGGACCCAACAACTTAACTGACATACGTTCTTAATGGATGACGTGCTAAAACGAAACAAATGTATCCGGAAACAGAGCTGCCTCGGAAGATAAAAATTAATTTCACAAACACGATTTATTGAAACATAAAAATTGANTCATGGGAATCTCTATCACTGTCACCAACATCAACAATTAGTTCTTCTATTTGTCTGTCTATTACTTGCTCACTGATCCCTATTTTTAAATATTTAATCTACGCCCCTGATAGGAATACTGAAGAATGAGGGCTACAGTCTTTATCTCTAAAACTGCCTACTTTTGCCACCGCGCATCCATGCCATTTTAAAATTTCCGCCAGCTTCCAGCGTCAGGACTGTAACATGATACGTATTCACGGGTTTGAACCATATCGCCGCTATAGGGACGATATTCTCGATTTCAAAGAAGACAATCCCCAAAATAGTTCAGACAGAAAGGAAGAGAACATGGACTCCTCTCATGTGACAGTGTGGCAAATTTTAGAGGAACAATTGCTGCATCCTTATCATTTGCAGCGAGCGCAAGCCTTGCAAGAAACACTGATTCTTAGACGGTGACTTCGAAAGAAAAGTGCTACATAGCCTAATTTTTCCTATGGGGATTTGTTTGCAGACAAGTTTGCTTCACGCGGGACGGAATTTTAAATTTTCCGACGAATGCTTACGTAAGTAAAATTTTTCTTTCTTTCGTGTTCGTACGTCTACATACTGCTGTCTGTAATGCACTTATTTAATTTATTTAGTCTAAATATCATGTGCACTACCAAATTGTTTATATTTATCTTAGACGTTTGGTAATCGGCAATGTTTAGATTCTCCATCCACGTAACTGTAGTTTTTATAGCACTATGCTATTCGGTGGACACCTATGACAGAACTATAACTTAATGACCGTAGCAGAGACAATTTATTAGGCAGTGTCATAAAAATAATGAAATTTTTGTTCTCCCTATCTTTACAGGCTTGCTCTGTCATACGTCCGGTAAAAAATGAATTTCACCCTTCCAACAGAAATCCCACAATAAATTTTTCTTCAATTGCTTCATTCAATAAATCGTTCCTGGCGCACTTACCTAAGCATATTTCGTGTATACGGATAAAATCTACAACGAAACCCAATATTCGGGCCGATGGCCATTTATAGAATTTCGTAGGGGCCAGTAAAAAAAGACGGCTTATCTCAAACCCCATTATTCAACTTTCACCCCTGGCTCCTACAATCTATATCTCTATACATAATTTTATATTATACCTGCTAATACTTAAGGCGCACAGTTAGGAGATTCTAATCGGAAAATTCGCTATTCATTTCGGAAACACGACATGATATTATCTAAAACACTTCCCTGTCCTTCTCAAATAAAAACTTGTGTTCCAGATAATTTAATTAGATATGTTACACATAAAGGACACGCTTCATGTCTATTAACACACACAAAAAAGAAAATCCTTCCTGCTAAAGGAAATGATTTCTAGATTTTTTTAACTAGAGGCAATTAAAGGTTGCGTTGATGTTTTCTCTTTTTACAACATTCAGATCTCAACTTTAAAACACAAAATTGTTATCTAATAAGATCGTATATGTTCCTGAATGTGTCCAGGACTAAATCTCGTCCAATATCCAAAATTTGGACCATTGGAACGGAACGAGTCACGGAGGTTTCGATATTATAATATAAATTATAAGAGTGGTAGTAAAAAAACAATCGGCACCCTCTAACATGTTAAAAAGAAGAATGCCAAAGTTAATTAATATTGTAGTGTTGTGTTTTTATAAACAAGACAGGCTAGATCTGGATGAGTTCATATCTTCGTATGTAATAACTAATAACAAATACGCAAAGTATTTCGTTGTTATTAAGGTAATGGATTGTAGAATCAAAAAGGATTAATAGAAAGCGGTTCGAGATCGAGTGTTCTCACTTTCACTTGTTTCATGTCAACTGTCAGACAATTTCAAAACCACTCAGCTTAATAATAATTCCCTGTCATCCAGATCTCCGTATCCCACATCAAACTGAATTTTTAAACCCTTTTGTGTCCTTTATGTACGGTGACGCTGTTTGCAAACAGTCAGGAAAGGTAATCCTTCATAGACCACAGAATTGATGAACTACTAACATGTTTTAATTCCACAAAAGGAGTCTCAAACAAATGAGACGATGTTACCTTCATTTGTTTTGAAACAAAAACCGTAAGTATACATTTTTGTTGATGTGATCTCGCGGTTATGAAATGAGATTGTCCCTCCTGCACATTTTTAATGAATGGCACTGTACATCATGAAAACTCCGAGTCGCTTTAACCGGATACGCCAAATGCAAAATAAGCATTTTCTCAAGTGAGTACTTGTACGTAAAATACCGTGTATCCTGACCTTTGCTTTGTGCCGTTTTCATGTCCACAAAATCATATTTTTAGGACATATGTACATGTACGGGGACACTGCTCTTTCAAGGAATCCACGAAAATATGAATAATAAATTTTATTTATTAGGAACGGGAAACCTTTTTAAGATATTTAGGTACCTCAGTCAAGCGTTTTTTTTGCTTGTTTGTTTGTTTATTTGTTGGTTTGTCAAGTGGATATTTGACCTTTTTTTTGACGTAAATCATAAAAACGCTAAAAGATATTTCATATCAGAAAAAATACGTGTGACATTTGATATAAAATCTAAAGGTTTGAAAGTAATAACAAGGAATGATATCCTATTTAGCAAATTTTAAAACTAGATAATGAATTTTTTTATTTTGGTAGTAGGTATAACAATTTATTTTTCTTGAAATTTTGACTAATAAAATTGCTTTTTCCCCAAAGAAAACCTTCAAGAAAGAATCTACACTTTTATGGTTTCTTCATCGTTACAGGAATTCTGATAACAATTGAATATTAAAAATTGCAGAATACCTAAGGATAAATTGCAAAAACTATTGATTTATGCAAAAATTACAAATTTCATAGCTTAAATTTTTAAAAAAATCATTAGATTATTAACTCAAAAAAACCTGTTGTACTTAAATTTCTTTAGAAAATTTAAAGCTTTCGATTGTTTATAACTTTTTGTCATTTAGTTTTTTTAACGTCTTCACTCATTCTTCTCACCCATTCACAGTTATAATCTAAACGACAGACATTTATAATAATCATAATAAATACGTACGGCATCCGCGGCCGCGTTCCCTAACACCCGTTGCACAACAACACCATCGTCGGTGGCCAGGTACGCGAAAAACTTGGTCACTGACGGACGTCGCTTTGGAACCGGCGTCGCGAGCGTCGGTCTTGAGACACTACGACCGTCGGGTCGACGGACTGAACCAAATCACTACCGCGTGAAAACTAACTTGGATGGCAAGCCATGACGTGACGCGACGCCGCTCGCAACAGCGGCGGTGAAAAGCGTCGCGGCGCGCTCGACACACGTGCTCCGGTGTCACGACGACCACCGCGGCGCCCACGACGCTCGCGAAGTAGTAGGGACGGACGCGTGCTTCCACCAGAAGGACCGTCCGAGATGGCTACGGCAGTAAAATATTAGCGTTTATATTAAAGTGAATTAATTTTCTTAGCACTACAGAGAACTTCAAATTAAGGAAGAAAAATTGTCGCTGCTGGCGCGCCCTCGCCGAGACTCGAACTCGGCACCTTTGGCTTTACTCATCGATACTCCTACCACTAAGTTACGAAAGGTAACAGCAGCAAGTCGAGAAATATCGACTCTTGAATCAAGAGAACAAAATATAGTCGAGATACAAAACAGAAAAAATGAATTTTAATTTTTAATCCAAGGAGAGAGAAAGCTGCTAGAGATCAAGACTCTTGTCTTGGTAAAATCGTAGCCATATTGAAGATATCGAAACGATATACTGAGTACATAATAATCCATATCTTAATCGATATACTGGGTGTTTCAAAAATATTTCGGAATATTTGAGACAATCACTTTCCTTAACTTTTTAATCCGATGCTTTTTAACAGAATAATTAATGATTATAATTTGAAATATCTGATCAATCAGAGCTGCAAGCAGAAGAAAATAAAGAAACTACTCCTACTTGCAGCTAGAAAAGTACACCATGAACATACATGATTATTACTAGGAATACGATATTTTTTCAGAACTTTTCTGACCTTTAGTTTTATAAAAATGAAACTTACATATATGAATAATTTTTACTATCCGTCACGTTCACGCAACTCCAACCAATTTTACCATTCCATCACAATAACTGTCCCAACAAAATGTAGCCCATTATTCAAAATTGTTTTCTAAGTACATGTTTTAGCCAATTATGTTAATACAGATATATCATTGAACCAATACAATTCGAAGTGTTCCATCTATCTAATTTTCTTTCCGTCTTACTTTTGTGTTCTTTAAACAGTGGTTATTACAAGAGAGTATAATTTACAAGACAGTTTTTGTGTTACCAACTTTATGGGACCGTGTTCTACTATATTAATTATATTTAGGAGAAAATACGGTCGTGATAGAAGATAATGAGTTTGTCAAAGGTTGCTATCAATATCGGTTTCATAAAACGTATTATCCGATCCCTATGGGGTTGATACAATCCAATGAACTCAAAGTAATGGAACCATATTACTACGTACACATACATATATGCTTGTCCATATTACAGAATTAAATTTGAGTCAGTTGTCTCACAATAATTATGATGTAACCCTTGGAAAACAATTTCAACTCAAATTTTAATAAAGGAGAAAAATAAAACTTTATTTTTAAAGTTTCATATCACTACATAGTATAAAACAAAGTCGCTTTCCCGCTGTCTGTCCCTATGTATGCTTAAATCTTTAAAACTACGCTACGGATTTTGATGCGGTTTTTTTAAAAGATAGAGTGATTCAAGAGGAAGGTTTATATGTAAATACATGCATAAAATAGCAGGGAAACACTGATAATTTTAGAGGTTTCTAATGTGATGTCGTAAATAAACACATTTCTTACCCTTACATTGCAAACGCTGGCTGAACCCTACGAGATAGATCAAAATAATGAACTACAATATTGTACATCTTAAAAGGGCCTACAACAAGTCCATGATGGTATATGTCTATCTCTTAGGGATAACCCACAATAACCATTTTTTATCCTTTACTTTTTACGAGAAATAATGATTTATTTACGAAGCGATTTTACGCAATACAGCATTAATTCTTATCCAATTAAGTACCTTTAAATAGGTATTGCATTTAATATAGATCAATATGGCCCTTACAACATGTAATTTAAATGAATATTTTCGAAGGTATTACAGATTTAAACTGCAGGGACATAGCGGTTGTGGCGGTACCGGCCGGGAGGCCGGTTTGTATTGTCTAATGACAAAAACACTGTGAATGTTGTACGTATATAAAGACATTCTGTAGTATATTTAGTATGTTCAGGGGGTGTCCTTTGAAGATTTCCCCTTTTCGATAATAATCTAAACAAAACAAAAATATATTTAGTATCAGCATTGCAACCGTGCGAAGCTAGGGCGGGTCACTTGTTTGACATAAACACTTATTTTATTGTACGAGTGCGATAGTGTGACCATATAATTTTTAGGGCAATGTGAAGTTCGTTTAATATTAAAAATTCCACTCCATTTAGGCACATGTTACACGCTTGACATTTCAAATATGAAACACCTTTTGTTTTTTAACGGTAGGGTAAATCTAACGCAAAAAATTCACAAATGAATTTGATAGCCGATCTTTTTTTGAAAGACTGGCTCCATTATTGCTAGCTACATTACATCAATTTTTTTCTACAACCGGTCCCACCACCTCTATTTCTACCCTTATCAGACCTTTTTCAACTTCCGCTACAGTCACAATGTCTAAATTGTCAATTATATTCCCCCCTATTATATCTTTTATCTTCCCCCACATATGTAATCGATGTAAAGTGGGACAGTCATGTAAAATGTTATTACATCAAGAAGTACTTGTATTCTGCTTAAACGGAAAAAGTTGAGATAATATTGTTCGGAGGCAAGAAAAGTAGATACACATTTTCCTTTTCAGAACTTATTTTGGTCTTTTTTAAACCTCGACTCGAATAACAGAAACATATGTACGTATTCATAATAGATAATAAGATGGGAAGCTTACACCCTTAGCGTCCGATAAGAACGTACATTTTCCTTCGTATTTCTAAGAATATTTACGTTAGAGTGAACCCATTCTTGCATTATGATTTACAACGTCAGCACAGTTCTTGATTTATGCCTACGAATTTCGATTAGGATTCAAGTTTGAATATTGTGCGTCAAATAACATTAACTTTAGACGTAACCACTAATAACGAGGTAATTGGCCTTTAAAAAACTACCTACTTAACAACTCCAACAGGCTACGGTTTTTAGACTCGATAGCGTCAATAACTTCAGTAATGTAGGAAAAGATCAAACAGAAAACATGAACTTTTATTCGAAAAAATACAGCGTCTTCAGAATCAATGAAATTTCGTTCAAAAGTAATGGAAAATTTTCTATTTAATCTTTCTTACATATACTTTGTGTAAGTAATTGAAAGAAACTACTGGATCTGTAAGTGTATCTTCCTCTTTCGACTTACATATATATATATACACGTATATAATACGAAATATGACTCTATCAAAGTGGATTTACGATTTACTACATCAATTCAATATAGGGGTATCCAATATGCGCTAGATATCTCGTCCAGCATTAGAGAATAATAATATATTCTGGTACGACCACCAGGAAAATTACCTTCCTTTCTACATTACGACTGAATGATGCCAAACTGATTTTACGTTCATGTTGAGCACGTAGTTAGAGGAAAACTATTGTTAGAATTTAACTAATAATCGAAAACTTTAACAAAAACAATTTATATTACCTACCACACCCTATATTCATCAATAAAGTAGTTTACTTATTTTTATACAAGTTCCCGTGCAAAGGAAAGAAGTTTTGAACAAGAAAAATACAACAAACAAGTACAAGGAAGTTTGTGTGCTTTTGAAACTTTTCACTTAAGCTTGGAAAAACGCACCAAAAGTCCTTAAACTTACCGCATTCAAATCCGGGGAAAGTAAAAAATAAATTAAAATTTTTTTTCGAGTTGAAATCGAATGAAAAGAAATAAAAGTTTGTGACAAAATATTTGATATTCCGATCAGGTCTATACCTCTATTTTCGATTTTAGCACGCGTCGGTGTTTACCCAGAATTGGTAAAAGAAAAGGGAAATCCAAAACCTCAATAGATCCAATCTAATTTTTTGTAGTTCCGAAAAAAAAAAGACAACCTGCCTATCACTCAAGATATGTAAACAAACAAAGTATAAGAACTGGCAATTTATATCCGACGTTCTTTGAAGAATTGTTTTACAATGACAATATTTTGAAGCGCATGTTATTTATACTGTGAATACTAACGTCTAATTGGCTACGCGCCAACCAATCAGACGCAGAGGCTCCCTACTCTTGCTTACTCACCGCATTCTTTTCACATTTTTTAAAGTTTACAGTGCAGAAAGTTAATTAAACGTGGCGTTCTTTAAGTAGACCACAATGAACACTGTTTTGTTTTGTTTACGCTTTTATTAATTGTTTCTTTTTCCGCCGCTATTCCAGCTTAACCAAACAATAAAACAATGTAGAGACTTTATACACTACAGGTGCATCGGTACCTAATACAAACCTACAGAAAAGAGAAAAAGAAAACCCCTAGGAATAAGTCGAAAGTTTCGAACATTTTAAAAGATTAATTGCTGTGGCCAGCTTTCATTAAAAATTTGTCATGAACGCTTGAATGCTACACCTGCCCGAGGGAATAAAGAATCGCAGGCAGCTTTCTAATTAATCGGGAAGCAGAAGCGTCTGTTGCTAAAACGCTCCAAATGATCATTTTTTTTTCTTTTATTTCCGAATACAACCCGTTTGAATACGGACGGTCGATACTCTCTACAAAAAGAAATTACGTAAACAATTTTAGCAGTAAAAAAATTTTAATTTTGTTTGGTTTCGTAAGTTCATTTATGTTTCTCCCTCAGATGTTTATTAATGAAATGACTTAATAACAACTCGTTCAGATTTACTTTGAATGAGCCAACGTTTCGCCTGTAGATTTTATTGGCTTCTTCAAGGTGATTGAAAGGATAAAATATAGATGAAGACCTACAAGCAACCCTCTTATATATATAATTTAATGAGGTTTTTTATTTTATTAGGCGGATAATAAAAATACCAGAGGATATTAGATACAAGTAGAAACAGGAGTCAAAGAACCAGAGAAAGATCCACACCTATATTGGTAATAATGAGATATTGTGCTTTTCGGCACAGGAAGAAATGGTTGCGGGTGATCAATTAGTGTTTGGCCTGAGGATCTTGTGATAATGATCATAAAATTAATATACGTCATGAACACTTCCTTGCAGGATTTTGGTATTTTATTCATCAAAAGGTCAGTCCTACGACTGGTTGGACACGCACCTCTACTCTTTCCTATCCTGAGCTAATCTTCGCATTTCCCCAAAACTAGAACAACCTACATCCTTAACTACTTGCAAAGAGTAATCTAACCTAGGTCTACCTCTACCCCTCCTAACTCCTGTTTCTGCCTCTAATATGTCTCTGACTAGACCTTCATGCCTGAGAAGGTGTTCTACTAGCCTATCTCGCCTATTTCTTATTGACTTCCAGAATCCTCTGTTTTCTTATTCTTTCTAATACCTCTTCATTTCTAACCTTCTCTATTCATGGTATCCTCATCATTCGCCTGTAATACTACATTTCGAACGCTTCTAACCTTTTCTTTTCTGCCGCGCCCACTGTCCATGTTTCGCATCCGTACATCGCCGCGATCCCAATATACACCTTTAACAATCTTTTTCGAATTACTAAATTAACTGTTCGCGAGCATAGAATTGACTTCTTTTTATTAAAGGCGACAAGACTCTGCGCTATCCTCTGCTTTATATCCCTACTACTCCTTCCGCCTTGTTTTAGCTGACTTCCTAGATACCTAAAAGCAGCAACATCTTCTAATTTTTCATCTCCTATCTTTATAATCGCCCTTTCCCTACTTTTGCTTTACTTTTATTTATTTTCATACAGTACCCGTAAAGCTAGAATGGCCTCCCGCGTTCTTCTATTTCTACAAACCCCAAATTGATCTTCCCCTAATAGACGATCTCTAACCTCTTGTCCTGCATATTTTAGAATATCCCCCTGTATCCCATCTACACCTGGCGCCTTATTATTCTTTAAGTTTTTAATGCTACATCAAACTCTTCTCTCATTATGAGATAACCTAGCTCATCTATCTCCACACTATCTTCCTTGTCTAATATATCTCCTAACCCATGGTCTGAGTATAGATTCTGTAAATATTCTCTCCACCTATCTGCCTGTTCCTTATTTTATATTAGGGGAATAATAAAAATACCCTAGGATATTGGATAGAAAGGAAGATATGGAAACAGCAAGTGAAAAGAACCAGAGAAAGGTCCAGATCCAGATTGTGTGGCTTTCGGTAAAAAAAAAAATTGTGATGGGTGACCATTTAGTGTTTGGTCTGATAGCCTTGTAATCATGATCGCAAAATTACTATACGTACTTCCTTGTAGGGGCGAAACCGACTTTTTTAAGCTAAGAATGAATCACACCATTGTAAATTTTATGTTCCAAATAACCCAAGAAGTTAGGTAAAAATGCAAATGTAAAGTCAGAAGTATACAATTTCGCATAACCCAAAACCAGACCGAATGTTAATTTCATCCCTTGCTGCGTATGCTATTTTTCACCATCAGGACGTGAAATTTGCACAACAGTTATGTTCATTAAGAATAATAAGTATCTAATATACATTTTTGCATTATTAAATAGAAACGCCAAATAATTCTGCACTAAGAAAAGCAGCTGAAGTTATATGTAAAGATAAAAATGCTTACGGTTATTAAATTTGGGTTATATTGGAGTAAATTAATATACCGGGTGGGCCAGCACATTGGCCAAGGGTTGTAACCCGTCCAAAAACGTAAAACTACTGTACGCTCTCCAATGATTACTTTTGATAATTAGAGAGAACACATTCACCCTATAAATTCGTTTTTTGGTTTGAAAGAAGTGTAGATACGAAATAAAATCAATAGATACAAGCAAAAAAAGCAGTATTCACTTTTTGTGTGTTATAATTTTTTTTCTGATCCCTGATGTATAAGGGAAAATTGAATTCAGTCCGAAGAAAAATTGGTAGGATGGGAAACAATAACATTAAAAAGCTCTAGATAAGTGGACAGAGGAACCGCTTTGGATTGACACTACATATCGTTTCATATATTTTTCAATTGTATTTTCCAGGTTCTAGAAATTTTGAGATATATTTCTTGGCTAGAAATAATCTTATTTATTGTTAAAAAAGTTATAAAGTATGTACCTATAAAAACGCTGATCTAAAATGATTTTAAACTTTGGAAACGAAAAATGTAATCTGTAAACAAAATCACATAAAACGTTTGCTTACCCTTTGACGAATATAATCATTTTGTAGCTGGGACTTACCTAAAACAAAAGAAAAAACGTCACAATCAATTCAAAATTAACATTTAAATTCACAATACATTGTTGTATCTTAAAAATACAACTTCTTTGATTGTTGAAATGCTTTATTATTAAAAAAGCACAATAAAGAGCTTTAGTAAATGTGGAAAGCTCAAAAGTTCGATTTTTATCTCTCTTAAAATTAGTTTCAAATAGATTTGAATAGAGACTGTTCTGCCATACGGTATCGAAATACAAAACTAAGAAATATCGATAACAGTTCCAACCAACCAAAGGACGAGAACGACATCCTCACTTACAACATTATTCCCTCTCCAACCTTTACCTACCAGATGGCACTGCAAACTCTAATTATGCCTTTTGTATTTCCCGAATATTATTTTCAAAATGCACAACAATTTATATACCTTAAAAGGTAAAAAATTAGCACGAATAATTATAAAAAGTATAGTCCTTTGAATATTCCCATTTCTTCCAGGATTATTGTAATCCTGATATGTACAGTACGACCAATAAAATTATAGCAACAAATCAACCTACCCTTTAAATTAAGATTTAAAATTAACGAATATCCAGTTCAAATACGTAGTCAAGGGAAATGATTGGTAATTTAAAGTCCTTTTTAACCAATTTTCAAATTTGGACGCGTAAAAATTTGGTCTTTACAATGATTTTAGCCAATTTAAATTTATACAATACGAAAGAGCGGCAGGATCTCATAATCTAATATGTGTTTTAACGAAAATACGTTTTTGCAAAATTGAAGAAAATGATTTACAGTTTAAGGTCCTTTTTAATAAATTTCCAAATTTGGACGCGCAATATTTCCCTCTTTACAATAGTTCAACCAAAATGGTGCAATTCTGCATTAATATTCTAATCCTTTAAGAATTTTATAATTTGTCCTTTATTTTTTTCGTTTTTTTGAATAGATCCGCCACTGTTTTCTAGTAAGTTTATAGACACATTCAGTCTTCAGCCCCTAAATACCTATCCCATTTTTGTAACAGCTATCAAATTAATAACGTTTAATTTAATAATTTAATTGAGCATGTGAATTATTGTTTCGTGAGGATGTTTCTAATAAATTAACAAATAACATTTCAATAAAAACATTGAGGTATTTAATAGATGCGAATTTTAATTGAAATTTACCCTGCCACAATTAATTAGTTTTGTTATGCCTATCCAAATATTATCACCTTATGCATGAATATTTGTGTTTCATTATTACAAAACACCAATAGAGAAATGTTAACCAGGTGTCCAAACTTAAATTACGTAAACTTTTTATACTAAATTTTATAGACCTTCTGCTATATTAACACTACAATACAACCACCAAGTGTTTCCACAAATAAACCCATAAATAACTTCCGTTGGACACCTCAGGCATTTTACAAAATAAAAAACGCATGCATGCATGTTCACAAATGTACCCTTCCTTAGGTTTTAAGAAGAGGAACCGGTTCATAGGAAATGATTGCATCAAATAGGCATACCCACTGCCTATACATGGATAGATTTTTTTGTATGAAAATTTGCCCATATAAATACGTACATCATCGATTGCAATTTTAGTTGAGTTCATTCTTCCAGTGGGTAAGAGTTCATTCCTCATTTTATTTTTCTCGATTTTGCAAATTTATTACTTACAATATGGCTTTGATTTCTTCAAAAATAAAATTCAACTCATCCGAGAAAGAGATAATTCGCGAAAATGCGGTATACGATAATCTAAAAAGATTGTCTGAAGCAACGGGCTATTCGATAAGTCAACGTAACGGACAAAGGGTTTATGGGCCACCACCGAACTGGGAGGGCGGTAAGCCTCAAAGGGGATCCGAGATTTTTGTAGGGAAAATCCCTCGTGATATTTTCGAAGACGAGCTCGTTCCCCTTTTCGAACAGGTGGGTAAAATTTATGAACTGCGTCTAATGATGGACTTCAGCGGATTCAACCGGGGCTTTTGCTTCGTGACCTATTGCGACATTAAAAGCGCCGACAATGCCGTCAAACGATTCGACGGGTACCTTTTAAGACCCCAAAGAAAACTTGGAGTCTACAAATCTGTAGATAATTGTCGGTAAGTTCAACTCTTTCCATATAAATATGTGTTAGCGTATACATATTTATACATACACATTTTTTTACATGACGATTATTAGGTATTTTCATCAGGAATTTAGAATCTGTTTGCATTTTTGCTCTAGTATTACAAAGATTTTGATTGTTTGTAACACTTAATAGGTAGGTAATGTAAATTAGGCTTACTGAAAGAGGTTCGCTTCAGTCGCCATATTGGTAAAAATGGCACCTTATTTATTAAGTATTAACAGATTATCAGAAACGTATAGATGTTATAGGTAGATCTCATACGAACATTTTTTGACCTGATGTCCTGGTATTGTTTGCAGTTATTTTCTCAAGACCTCTGTTACATATTTTGATACATATTAAGCACTGTAATTTAACTAATACATGAGCTAGCCTTCAATATTTAACGTTAGATTTCGGGACATGTTACTGTGAAATAAATTATTGGTACCATGGAAGAATATGTCCAAATTAAATACATAAATGAAACTGTTTGGGACGATAAGACCAGAAATGTGATGTATTTGAAATACTTGCGTTTAAATATTTTTTTGGGAAAACCATTTTATATTTTATTTAAAATACTTTTCCAAACATATTTTCTATTTGTAAAATGCAAAATGCATTTTTGCTGTTAAAAGTTTTGCTAGTATAATCGATCAAACATTATATAAAATGAATAATGAAAGTTGCTCACATTGGCTATTGAATGTATTGAAAGCTTAAAAAAGGGACAAAGAGACATTCCATGAATTGAAGAAAGCCCAAAAAATTCTAAACTGTTTGAAAATTAATAATCTAGAATATTGAATAGATATTGTTTTCCGGGTTCAATGTCGAAACTGATATCAGCACCTGCCAAATCGGCACTTATCGTACCTTTAGCTAGGAACTACGAAATTCTATGAATTACGACAAAACAGCCTGCAAAACAATATCGAATTGATATACGCCAGCTGTGTAAAACTGAAAACTATGAGATATTGTGGTGTGCTAATAAATGTGGATAATTCAAAATCCTTAGAAAATGATTCGAAAAACTTCATTTATTTGATGAACCCAAAGCTATAGAAACGATGGATTCCATTTGTTTCTCTTTCTACAATGTGTAAAAGATCGGAAACAAAATGGGGTTGTAAATATTTTGATATAAAATGATTGATGTAAGAAGGTGTAATAGGTCAATGAAAATATGTACATATCGTGGAAAGAAAAACTTGTAAATGAGGGGATATTAGAAAGAGGTGGACCAGAATTTGACTAGAACTTTCAAATACTTGCGCCTTGGTCCACCCTGGTTATGTATAAATATCTACAATGTTAGGAAAATAGGAAGTTCCATTTTTTTGGAAAATGCGAATAAAATTACCTCAGGATAAGAAGGACGTGGTGAATTGACGATGACGATCTTTTGGTGTAGACAATGTAAAATTTAGAAATAGAAAGAATAACCCTACACAAAAAGTATTCTATTGTAATTTTTATCAAACCAATAAACAAATAAGACAAAAATAAAGTGATGTATTTACTTCCACATAATCTACAGCAGAAGTCACTACACAAGACAGACATCTTTTGATGCCATATTCCGACACAGTTGTTTTCAAGATACAAGATAGACATAACTTTACCTATGAGGAGATCAGCTTCCATCAGTACATTCATATCGACGATAAATACGATAATAGTAGACCTTTGTATAAAACTTCAAAAGTTGTGTTTATCTGTACATAAACAATCGCGCACATCAGGTGTAGGTACCGTCTTCAGAAGGAAAAATATTATTGGGAGACAATAGTAGATATTATTGTTTGAACAAGAACGCTATCTATCTAAAAGATAACAATTTTTTTTTATTATAAAGCTCAGAGAAATTTTCTGAAAACTAAGCAAATTATCTACGGAATTTGCTCCTTATAATTCCCAATTAACCAACCGCCTTTACTACTATTACTCATTTATCTAAAGAAATTTGCAAACCAACCCAACGAAATGTCCTATATTTAATCTTGTACCTTTTTCCTTTGATCTTCTAAAAATTGGTTCTCCACTGATCAGTTGATCAACTAAAAGTGATTATTGTATACTAACTTTCAGTTGGAAGTGATCTCAAGTCATTCATCCATCTGAAAAAGCCACAATGCGATGAAATAATTATTGCGGATTTTTCTATCAATAAAAGTTAGATATTAGAAAGAATAGGAGAACAGAGGAAGTCAATAAGAAATAGGCGAGATAAGTGGGTAGGACACCGTCTCAGGTATGAAGGTCTAGTTAGAGACATTTTAGAGGCAGAAAGGGGAGTTAGGAGGGGTAGAGGTAGACCTAGATTAGATTACTGTTCGCAAGTAGTTAAGGATGTGGATTGTTGTAGTTTTAGGGAAATGCGAATATTAGCTCAGGATAAGTAAGAGTGGAGGTGCGTGTCCAACTAGTCTTAGGATTGACGACCTTCTGATTATGATGAAAAACTTTTGTTAATTATTTTGACTATTCTAAAAGTGGAATTTTAACAAGTGAAAGCCTCATCTATTTAATTTTGGGAAACTTCTGCTTCCAGTCTCTTCATTGGTGGTCTCCCAAGAGACAAGAAGAAGGAAGAAATTACACAAGCAATAAACGAACAAGTTGAAGGAATAATGGACGTAATTTTATATCCTTCTCAATACGATAATAACGAAAATCGCGGTTTCGCCTTTGTAGAATTCGAAAATCATCGTTATGCAGCGATGGCGAGACGTCAGTTAGCACCTGGTTCATTCCAGTTGTGGGGGGCCGACATTGTCGTTGATTGGGCAGATCCCCTCCCAACTCTGGACCCCTCCGTCATGGCCCAGGTAGGACAGATAATACTTTGTCTTCACTTCCTCCAAAGCAAATGGCTTTGTTTCAATTTTAAAATTAATTGATTAATTTCACGTACGCAATGCAGAGAGAAAAAACCTATAATCTATACAATTAACCGTTATAATTTAAGGATTCACGTTAAATGACAATCATAAGAACTTATTACACTTTTATTAAAATCCACATTTCTATGTTGAGACTCTCCCTTGACCCTATGAGCACCCAAAACGGTAAATACCTTCTTTATCATACCTCTACGATGGTTTGTGTTTTTATTTTCAGGTTACTAATTTATATATTCGCAACATTTGTGTCTTTATGGACACACAGACATTTCTGAACGCAATACTGGTCTACATACCCGCGATAAGAATCCATAAGATTCACAAAGTCCTTGACTACGCGTTCGTACATTTTAGAAGAAGGGCTGATGCCGAAATTGCGCTAAATGCCCTCAATGGTAACCGGAATTTTTGAATTAATGCATCAAAAACTAAACCAAATTAAATTGTAGGGGTGTCAATTGGTGGTCACAAAATCGAGGTTACTTGGGCACGTCCAAAAATATACAGCAAAAATTATAGAATGAACACACCACCAACAAACTTTTGCACGTAAATATTTTTATTTTAATTAATTTTAATTCAAGTTTAGTATTTAAATAGAAACTCGATTAACTGCCATTTATTTTAAGCGCCCCGTTTAGAGGCAGGGATGTGGGGTTGCGACCCCTCCCCGGCCTCGAGCGTTCATGCCGAGTGTCTGACAATAAGTCATTTTCATACCGAAGTTACTATAGGTAGTTATTCAGGAAATTCATATTATAATACAACTCACGATTTTTATTGCGAATGACTAAATTTTTTTCATTACAATAATTACAATAAATCTTTACAGTCGCCAAAAAATTCCAATTAAGGTGGCATTTTTAACAAAGCTCGACCCCTTCCCCCAATTTATAAAGCTCGGTATACTCCTGGTCTCTCTGTCGTACGTATACTTCGTTTACTTTGTGACCTTCAGTTTGACCGGAGCAAAGTAGAAAAGAACAGCACTAGGCCAGAAAAGGAAGGAGACAACTCTCGGCCAAACTCTTAACCGGTGAAGAGTGTATAATCCGTACAGTACTGCACGGAAAAATTGACCATTTTATCCACTACAATTGNTGTCTTAAATTAGTGTCAAAGATAATCGACGACCATACAAAACTAATTATTGTATTTCTCGGGAACAGTATTGTTTTCGGGATAAAAGGTACCCTGAGTCCCTTTATACCTCCCTGACAATGTATGTACAGAATTCCATGATAGGTTTTACTGACAGTTTGCTTCTCATTGATGTCTTAAATTAGTGTCAAAGATAATCGGCGACCATATAAAACTAATTGTTGTATTTCTCGGGAACAGTATTGTTTTCGAGATAAAAGGTACCCTAAGTCCCTTTATACCCCCCTGACAATGTATGTACAGAATTTCGTGATAGGTTTTACTGACGGTTTCCTTCGGGTTGATGTCTTTAATGCGTGACAAAGATAATCGACGACTACATAAAACTAATTGTTCTATCCTTCGGGAACAGTATTGTTTTCGGGATAAAAGATACTCTAAGTCTCTTTATAACCCCCTGACAATGTATGTGCAGAATTTTTATGAGAGGTTTTACTGACGGTTTCCTTCTCATTGATGTCTTAAATAAGTGTCAAAGATAATCGACGACCACATAAAACTAATCGTTCTATCCCTCGGGAACAGTATTTTTTTTTCTAGATAAAATGTACCCTACATTCTTTTCTGCACCCCTGACAATGTGTCTACAAAATTTCATAATGATCAGTTAAGAATTAGTTAAGGCGTGAAATTCTCATTTAATCTATTTATTAGAATACTGATTTACTTAAACTTTCTAATTAGGTACCATCATAATGGCTTCTAAAACCATTACATTTTATTATTTAATTGGTAATCATTTAATAAAATACTGTGGCATACATATATATAACGTAAATGCATTTTTTTTCTCAATTTATCAGATGAATATCTCGTTATAAGAATATTTAATTAATTACCTTAAATGTGACGATACTTTTAGTCTACTTGTACTTCCAAATACCACAAAAACACTTTCCGCGTAGATTTGCAAGTCCAAAATCACTACCGTATTAATTAATTCTATAAAACTATGTCCAATTTTGATTGAAATTAAACGCAGCTTATAACCGACTCCATTTATAACACACTGCATCATCAGTCTTGGAATGTGGTCACTGAGCAGGCTCGTTCTTGTTTTTACAATCACAGCCAGCTTTTACTTATAATGCAAAAAACAAGTGATGCACACAATGTTATTGTAATACATACATACACTGACGACGGTTAAATAGAAGGCAGTACAGGCCAGCGAAAAATTATTTGAACTTACAACAACTTTATAAAGGCGATAAAAATGTAGGGAATATAAAATAGGAATAGTAAAGAATTGCCTGATGAATAAATAATGATTTGAAGGTTATTTATTTTATCTATTAAGCAATTTGTCAGTTTTAATTTGAACAAAAGTAAAGTAGGACTTGAATTTTGACAAATTCTATCAAAAAACCGTCAAACATGGATACCGAATTAGTTTTGCGGAGGGCAGGTCAAAATTTTTTGATCTACCAAATTTTCTACATCATCCTGAGTTTGGGCATCAAAATTTGCTCGTCGATTCTGGGCAGAGCCCGGATGATCGCGAAAATATAAATTTTCCGGCTTAATCTTTCAGGTAAAATATTTTCGATTATGACGATTGCCATTTTTCTTATATTGTGGTTTAATTGTAAGCTAATTTTATGCAGGAACTTATTCAAAATGCAAGTGGATCCACAAACATTTGTGACAACCCAAAAGGCTGCTTACAGATGGCCAGTTTCAAAACCACTAACTGCCAAGTAAGTCCAAGTATTTGAACGATAGGGCTCTTAAAAAAAGAACCCCTATAAATTAATTGGAAAAAATTATTTACGTATTAAGAGCACTTTTTTTTGGAGTATGAGTTATATCAACAAAATAATAAGTGGCAAATAAGGGTTGTATCGTCCCTTTGCAAAAAAAAATTTAACACAAAAATACAACAAATTTTTAATTAACTGACAGACAACTCATAGCCTAAGCCACTGAATATGCAAATATGTAATTTGAAGAATTTCTTCCTTGAAGGATTATTCGAAAATCGATCCCTAAGAGTGTGAAATGGGGGGAGGGGGCAAGGAAAATCATATTACTTGCGTCATTTGTTATATATACGTGCATATTTGCACTTACACTTAGTGGCTACCCCTAAAGAAAGGTTCTGGGGTGATAATGTAATGTAATAAAATTAAAAAACGCTTCTGTAGTATACACAATTGCAATAAAGAAAATAGAATTATTATCTATTACTTTTATACATTCTTTACTGCTTCAAAGTTTCTTGAAAGCGANGTGGGGGGACGGTGAATATAGCGACTCGGTTCGTCGGTTGATCGTGGTGTGCGAGCACAATGGGTATGTCGCGGGCGGCCCAAGACTTTAAATTTTTAAACCCGGACTACAAATGAAGGCCCACCCGGACGCTCCCTGGATGACCTCCAAACTAGGACAAATCCGGGGAAACCCGGACGGATGGCAACCCTATTAGTTGGACACCTTCTTAGGCATGAAGGTCTAGTCAGAAACATTTTAGAGGAAGAAACAGGAAATAAGAGGAGTAGAAGTTGACCTAGATTAGATTACTTTTGGCAAATAATTAAGGATATAGGATATGGGTTGTTCTAGTTTTAGGGAAATGCGAAGATTAGCTCAGGATAAGAAAGAGTGGAGGTGCGTGTCTAACCATTATTAGGACTGACGACCTTTTGATGATGATCAAAATATTTCTTTGTAATTTCACTTTTCATTGAACAATCAGAATACTTCACATCGTCATAGGGTCGTTAGTCCAGAAACTGGTTAAAGGCACCTCCACCCTCTATTATCCTCAGCTAATCTTCGCAATTCCCTAAAACTAGAATAACCTACACCCTTAACTATGTATTTGTCCTGTTTTTTCTTCTAATACGTCTCCTAATATTTCCTCATGCTTGAAAAGGTGTCCTACCAGCCTATCTCCCCATTACTTCTTGTCGACTTCCACGGTATCCTCATCAGTTGCCTGTTTATTGTGTAAAATTTCCCAAAAGAAACTTCAAAAAACCACTTATTATCCAGTTAGAATAAAAAAAACAATGTTTATTAGGTCTTACATTGGCTGATTATACGAAGCTTATGCCTGCCGTTGATGACCCAACCCCATCCCCGGTTAAAAGCGTGTCCACGAAGTTAGGATACGGATATAGGGACCCCACATACTTCAGGACCTCCTGCTTCCCTAGATACAGAGTAGGAACATGTCCCGAAGTTAATTTCTGTCAAAGTAAGCTTCTGTTTTTGACCCTAATAAGTAACATCGGTTTTTGAAAATTGTTTTATTATTCCTTATTTATTAGCTCCTGATAATCTGGTCACGTGGTTTGAAGAGGCAACAGGCAAAACCGAGTACCAGGATACAATAGGCAGGACCGGGCTGACGATAATTAAAAGCAAACAGCAGTACGCAGAACCTTTGCCGTCGAGTCGTAGACGCGTTGGTGATCCGTGTCTTAGAATTTAAATATGAAACAAAAAGAAATTTGTGCATATTATCTTGGGAATAAAACAAAAACGAATCTATTTCGGTCGTTGTCTGACCTCTGACCCGATTTCTATCTGCCTACGTAAAAAATTCCTGGGAGGATTCTTCTTTTATTTTATTGAAAATATGTCGAGGGATGAAATCAAAAGTCAGATAAGATTACACTCACGGTTGGAATGGCCATAAGGGAGTTCTCTTACTCATATATATATACGTAATCATTTTTGAAAGGGGTGGTGAACATATCCGATATCAATGGCACCAATTTTGTTTTAAATCCCCGATTAAAAAGATTCGCCCGGTCTAACCCTGATTACACTAATAAAACAAAACGAATAATAAGACAGGTGTTTACATAAATCGGTATCTAACAACAAGGGTAAGTGCCTCATCATAACAAGGTCGTCAGTCTTAAGACTGGTTCGACACGCACTTTCACTCCTTCCTATCCTGAGCTAACCTTCGCATTTTCCTAAAACTAGAGCATCCCACATCCTTAACTATTTGTGAACAGTAATCTAACCTAGATCTACCTCTACTCTCAACTCCTTATTCTGCTTCTAATGTCTCTTACTAGCCCTTCATGCTTAACAAGGTGTTCTACCAACCTATCTCGGCATCAGTGTGCAATTGTCGGTAAAACCCAATAGGTAAATACCTACAAATAACAATGGTGTACTAGGGGTTGACAATTCCATTTATATTTTGGTACAGCGAGAACACCAGCTCAAAGTTTTTGTTCTAAATATAGCTAAACAAATACAATTTAGGCTCAATTTTAGTGAACAATATATATCCATTAAAGACAGTACAACTGTAGGGATAGATATACAGGGGCAAAAGATTAGTATGCTTAGATTTGCAGATGATATAGCAGTATTAGCATCTAGCAAGGAGGACTTAGAGATAGCTTTAAATAAAATGGAAGCGGTACTGACAGATCAGTACTGTATGAAAATAAATAAAAGTAAAACTAAAAATACTGGTATGCAAGGGAAGAAAAAGTAGGGAAAGAGCGAATATAAGGATAGGAGACGAAAAATTAGAAGAAGTGGCTGATTTTAGATATCTAGGAAGTCAGAATAAGTCAGGACGGAAGGAGTAGTAGGGATATAAAGCAGAGGATAGCGCAGGGTCGTGTCGCCTTTAATAAAATGAAGTCACTTCTATGCTCGCGAACGGTTAATTTAGAAATTCGAAAAAGGTTGTTAACGGTGGATGTTTGCACAGCACAGCGTTGTACGGGTACGAAACATGGACAGTTGGCGAGGCGGAAAAGAAAAGGTTAGAAGCCTTCGAAATGTGGTGTTATAGGCGGATGATGAGGACAACGTGGGTAGAAAAGGTTAGAAATGTAGAGGTATTAGAAAGAATAGGAGAACAGAGGACTCTATCGAAGTCAATAAAAAATAGGCAAGATAGGTCAGAGACATATTAGAGGTAGAAACAGGAGTTAGGAGGGATAGAGGTAGACCTAGATTAGATTACTGTTCGCAAATAGTTAAGGATGTGAATTGTTATAGTTTTAGGGAAATGCGAAGTTTATCTCAGGATAGGAAAGCGTGGAGGTACGTGTCCAACCAGTCTTAGGACTGACGACCCTATGATGATGATGAAATAAAACAAGATTTGCTAGGTACAGAGAAATGATGCGACAAACTTTTTCGTGAAAATTGTAATGCGGCATTAGATAACTACCCCATAAAACATAAAATTCTATTGGTTCCTCCGAACACTGCGTTTTTTTTATAATCATAATCATCAAAAATGGAATAGTTCTGAAAAGCCGACTATGATAGGTAAACAGACGTCTCTACATATACCTACAACAACTTTACAATGGGCGAAACAAATGTTTATTGGTCCACTTGTAAGGGTGAGCCTGTTTGATATTGATTATTCTATTCTATGTAGGTTTTTTCCATAATCAGTCACTCTAATATAAACATCTCCGCAGTAGTCATTCGATGCTATTGTATTGATCGAATTCGTCCGATTCAAATTTTATGAATGTTTAAACATTTCATCCTTCCTTGCATCTGGTAAAAGTTTTGAGTAAAATCATTCGAGTATATGACTCGCATATAAAAGCATTCGGAACCTCCAATACCTTTTATTTTATTATTTCTTTAAGAAGTGAACTAATAATATAATGATTCGAGAAGGAAGCCTAATAACAAATCTAATAAAAATTGTCTTGAAAATGTTGCAACACTTTAATGAACTATTGGTTTAAGAGAACCATTGATGAGGAGTATTTCCTAGACGTGCCCGAAAGAAAGAATTCATAAAAATGTTTATTATTTTTTTCTATTATGGTATTTTTGTCTGTCGTGTACACTGTACAAAACATACCTAAACACACACACCCAATAAGTACCTACATGCATATACGTTTCCACAATGTATATTGTACATTATGTGATTATGTTATTGTATCTACTCCTGAGATGCAATAAATTATGGTCGAAGAAGCGAGGAAGGGGAACTTCGAGACGCTTGGTGACCGGCATCGGTTACCGTCAAAGGAAATTTCGGCGATTGGTTTGGATCAAAGAAACATGCAGTTTTTTTTTCTTTAAACACCTAACCATTTCCCCACCTTCCGATGACCAGCATCACATTGGTATATCGTTTGTATCATTGCGGAATCAGTTTCCCGGTAAACTTCGGCAGGTCAATACGTAATTAAAAATTGGTTTCCGTTATGGGTTCAAAATACACCCCAAACCGTCGTTTGTTTTTTGGTAGTATACCAATGAACAAAACCCGCGACGATATTTGGAAGGCACTTTTGCGGGAAGGGGTGCAGAATATTGTCGACGTTATCTCCTATAAGTCCTATTCCGATAGGCATGTGAATCGTGGTTACGTTTTCGTGGAATTTACCAGTGATCAAGAAGCCGAAAGGGCCCACGCTAAACACAGAAATAATTTGAAATTGTTCGGTAAAAAAGTAATTATCGATTGGTCGAACCCTATGATCGAACCAGAAGCCAGTGAGATGAAATCGGTAAGTCGTGAAAATTAATTATTTATGATACATTTAGTTGAAAAGGACCGAGGTAAATGTGCCATTGTAATAAAAAACTACCACATGGTACAGGAATACATGTCCAACAAAAAAAAATTAAATGGTGTTTGAAGGATGTTTTTTGTTCAAAAGATTTTGAGAGTTCGGTAATAAATAGAAGTTTTAGCGAATCAGATGACGAACGTAGTTGGATGGAAAACAATTTTTCTTACCCTTATATGTACCTACGAAAATCCGACAAGCATTGGTAACATGGTACCTATTATGTTTCGGAAAAATTCTTTCTCATATTTACGGATTAAGTTCCAAGATTTTCTACTTAACTTAAACTTGATTTAAAACTATTGTCTATTTATTTTATCTACAGGTCAAAAAATTGTTTGTAAGGAACCTCCCTGTTACCATGACCAGGCAGGAGCTTGTACAAATCCTGACCGCTGCTTTGCCGACCTCGCATTCGATGATTAAAGTGTACAAATTTAAGGATTATTCGTTCCTTCACTTTGATAACCGGAAAAATGCTGAAAAGGCCTTGGAAGTATTGAAAAGTGGGTTTTTTAATATTTTGTTTTTTTTTTGGAGTTTTGATTTCCTTAAAAATATGCTTCCGGTATTTGCATCAAACTGAACCATTAACTTCCAATTCACCAAAATGTGATTGCGTTATTTTAATCATGAATTAATTACGTATTAATCCTTGAAATATTGAAATTCTTTAGTGCATGTTGATGTCCTTTATTTAAGTATACATAAGTAGGTGACGATATTTTTTTTATCTGTGTACTATATGGCGTTTGTTTCTGATTGCGAATGCAAAAATAAAACTGTAGATCAACTATATAACAATAACATATCTAGTATGATTAATGGTTATGTATGTAGTATACATAAGTATGTATGTTACATAAACCTACGATTAACGGTAATGTTGAAGATGTGGTTGTTTATTTTTTTTTTTAAGTTAGCGTCATTAGGGTTTGGTAGTTCATAAAACTTTTAACATCAGGTGTGTGTGTGTTGTAGGCAAAAAACTTTTTTTAATTTATAAATGTATCTATAGCTCAATATTTTTGTGGGTATTGCAGTGTAAAAAAAAGTAGTTTTGCGTAAAGAATAGTAAATCCACACATCTACAACATTTCATCGAAGAAGAAAGACTTATTCAATTAGAAACATACCAGTTTTTTTATATTATCATGTAATGCAAATAAAACCTAGCTATGTAAAGTAGGTGTAATATTTACATTTACTTTAGGCTACTTCGAAGGTTTAGACTTCTTCAAAGATGATATTCAAGTGACCTGGGCAAAGCCACCTAGCAGGTTTCGAACACGCGGCTCATTGTAAGTTTTTTTTTTAATTTATTTTACCTCTTCTTTTTTTTATTACGTGCACATTTCGTTCTCTTCCTTCTTTTCTTTTTTAATACCTTAATTATTATTGATTCAAATGCGAAATAAATATTCTACGAAGAAACGAAACTTGTATAATAGTGATAAAACAAAATGGCGCTTGGCATCCAATCGTGTTTTACAAGTAACAGTAGAATTTCATTGGTGTATTTCTCAGGTAAGCGGCAGGTATAGGCTATTGCCTACTTGATCCTAAATGGTGTTTAAGATTAAGTAGCTATAATCTTTACATGTAGATAATTTGTAACTTGTAATTGATTTAAAGTACACTACGCAAGCATACGTAAGGGTTGGAGGGGTTAAATTTGATTGTTATGTTTTAATCTGGATCTTTCTATAGGTGCCTATAAAAAATTTTAACGTTTTTCACAGGAATTCGACCAAAAGCATTGCCCCGTCCAATTGTTATTGTCATTTACAATCTTCGGCTGATTCTCCATCTCTGTCTTCGCGTTTATCTACCGATTTTTCGCAAAATTATAGACGTCGATTTTCAACTTCATCTGATAATTCTTTCCGTTCTGCCAATTCATCGTCATCATCGGGGGTAGATTTTTCATTCGATAACAAACCTATTGCTTCTCCGAATTTGGTCACAAATTATTCCAACACCAAACAACAGGTATCGCTTCGCGAGGAATATCCTTTGCTTCAAAATGAACCTGAATGGGTTTTGGACTTCCTCTTGAATACGCTCAAAGTAGCGGTAAGTCCAAGATTTTCGTTTTTTTTAGTGTGCAGGTATATACTTTTCAAAGCACAAAAAATGTAGCTATAAAATAAAGTCAATAAGCAGGTCTGTGTAGCAAGAAAAAAGATGCAGGTGTTCAATTCCAAAAAGGTTCAACCGAATTGGTCATGAAGCATGAACACCTGCAATCTTTTTTGGCTACTTGCATTACCTTCAATTTTACAATAAAAAATGCCAAAGTAACCTTACAAGGTTTGGGAGCGAAACTATTGAAGAAATTAGTTTTGTACAAAAATTAACAACAAATTTTTAACAGCATCACTAATTGTAAACAAAATTTGGAAATGAGTCCAATTTTTCGTGTAAAACCTCTTTAGTGCTTGTTGTACTAAGATTTTTTTTGATTTTCAGTTAAAAGACAAAACTTTGCACGAGTTGATGGACGAATTGGATATTGATTACTTCGACAATATTTCGTCGTAAATATCCTAATAATAAATAGTGATAATATATTTTTTTACTGTACCAGGTACCTATGTAATTTGAAACGAGAAGTGTTTTATGTTGAGAATAGAATTTTTATTTTTTTTATAAGGGTAAGAGTGTAGGAAAATAAAATACACTAGTTTAAAAGTACTTACTTACTACATTCTAAAAACTAGGAAAAATAAGTTACCGTTTTTATTGCTATATATTCATATATTTTACGCAGGTAATAGATATGTAATTATATTTATAATGTTTTAAACTGTATTTAACCAAATAAAGGAAACCATTAGTGCCTATATGCGTGTGTTTATTTCGTTTTAAAAATTAACTAGTAAAAACAGTAGATGTTTATTTAAATAATACTTATAGATAATATGCAACTGGACCAGTGAAAGTAAATGTTTAGAAAAGGTAAGTAAAAATACTTTTTCAATATTAATTTACAGTATGTAATTCGTGAAATTCAATTAAGTATATTTATTCAATGATCGAATTTACCAGAAATTGTTCTCTTTCTCATTCGCCAATCATGCACAACTTTACTAGTTTTAAACTAACACCATCCAGCTATCTCTATATCTTACAATTTTCTATAATCTTACAAGTGTTTCAGAGCGTGACGAGTAAACCATAGTCTTTGTTAAACTATCTGAGCTTTCACATAAAAAATGAATTTTGAAAATCAGATTTATAGTTCCAGAGTTAACCCTGAGTAAACATCTCTTCATAATTATTACCTAATACCCTAAGTGAACAATTTTTTTAATATTAAAAACTAAGCTAATACCAAAAAAAGTTAACTAGTTTCTAAAGCCGTCGAAAATGATGCACTCTTCAAATTGTAAAACTTTTTTATTTGTAAATATCTAATTTTTAAAATAACAGCTACACCAAATAAGATACTGTAGGTTTATATCTAATACAGTGTCAAAAAAGACAGTTTTGCACAAAAGTAGTAAATAACGAAAAACATTGCAAAATAAACATTAGAATTAGATCGATACTAAAAACTGCATCAAAAATAAAAAAGCTTCACTATTTTAAAAGTGCATGCTTTTTACGATTATAAAATTTATTTTACTTCTAATTTTTAATATTTAGTCTCTAGGTAACCTACTTCGTTTTATTTTTAAGGTTTAACAACTTCATTAAATGAAAGTTTGTGAATAACATGCGAACAGTTACTTAATTATTGATTATTTTTTCTTATAATTCATCAACATTCGTAAAGAATGCTTGTGTAATAGTTCGGTATACGTATTTTCTGCAGTTTTTTGTGCGTTAAAAATGCGTTAGCAGATGTACACATGTTGGTATACGAAACACAAAGAGCCACGACGCAAGTTAGTTCTAGTAATATCGTAATGGCTACACTCGAAGGCAACTGCTATGATAATAATGTAATTCGAGAAAGCCGTTCATAAAAACAGGCTTTTCTGGAAGATTCATTTTTCAGAAAATGGTCGATACGATTTTCTTAGAACCCATACTACCCCAGCCAATAGCATTATAAATATAGTCTTTTTGGTAGTGGGAAAATTAAAGGCTCGAACTGTGCAATTTAAAACGCAATTGCATACTAGTTGTAGTTAATGCATTAGTGTGTCCAGTAGCGAGGTGTTTTACAATGGGTGAAATTACTAAAAATCCGATGATTGATTTGAACGGTGTATCAGCAAGATTGAAAGAGTTAGAAGAACAAACTGGATGTCCAATCAAACAGATAAATGGACAGCGGATTTTTGGGCCACCTCACGACTGGGGAGACGAAAAACCGCCCCGTGGATCAGAAATTTTTGTTGGGAGATTGCCACGCGACATGTTTGAAGACAATCTCTATCCCATATTTTCAACCTACGGTCGTCTATACACAATGAGACTCATGCTCGAATTTTCGGGAGTAAATAGGGGATTCGCTTTCGTCACATACTCGAATCCAGAAGAAGCAAAAGTAGCGGTGGAAAAATTGAATAGATTTGAAATAATACCCAATCATACAATACTGGCGTTCATTTCAATTGATAACTGCAGACTATTTGTGGCGAACATACCGTGTACTAAAACTATCAAGGACATCTTAGTCCTCTTCAGAAGGATCATGCGCGGTCTCGTATCAGTCATTCTATGCCCGAATTCCAAGAAAGGAAGGAATAATAGAGGATTTGCATTTTTAGAATTTGACTGCCACAAAAATGCCCTGGAAGCACGTAAAAGATTTTGGCCGTACAATTTGAAACTTTGGAACAGAAAGTTATTTGTGGATTGGGCCATTCCCCATCATCTTAAATCGCAGGTAAGGCTTGTACCAATTGTATTTGTTTACGCGATTTTATTATAAAATTATTATTGTAATTCAAGTGTAAACAACTTTTGCTGAAAGGACTTAATACGAAAACTACCAGCGAAGCTTTGGCTAATGCTATTTATGCGAGATTAAATAAAGTAACACTTTTGGGTTTAAAAATTCGGGGCGCCGAAGCTGTCATCACTTTTAAAACGAGAAGTAACGCCACTGAAGCCTATCAAAAACTAAGGGGTAAGAAAATTTTACAAAATCTTACAGGTATACGCACGCATACAAGAGCAAAACATATTTTTTTTTATAATTTCGAGTTGTTTGTTAAGTTACTCGTCATTACATCCATACTAGAATTATAATTCGACCTGATGCACCATGGTCTCAGTTTCTTTCTAAAATTTTCATTGAACTGTTAGGTCCGGACGTTTTGTTAACAGCTGACTGCCTATTCAATTTTCTAAATTGCAATAAGAGAAAGAAATGGAATCCAATAATTTTATTTCTAAATATTTACAACCCCATCTTGTTTCCAATCTTTTACACATTGTAGTAAGAGAAACAAATGGAATCCATAGTTTCTTTAGCTTTGGGTTCATGTAATAAGTGAAATTTTGTTTTTTATCTTGTAGTTTTCAATTTTACACAGCTGGCATACATCAATTCGATATTTTTTTTGCGGGCTGTTTTGTCGTGATTCATGTAATTTCGTAGTTCCTTTCTAAAGGTAGAATAAGTGGTGATTTGGCAGGTGTTGATATCAATTTGGAACTTCAAAATTTCACGGAGATTCAAACAATATTTTAGATTATCCATTTCCAAGAAGTTTAGAATTTTTTAGGTTTTCTTCAGTTAAAGAATTAGAAGGCATTCATGGAATGTCTCTTTGTCGCCTTTTTAAGCTTCTTATACCTTCAGTGTCCAATGTGAACAAGTTTCATTCATCATTTTATATAATATTTGATCGGTGATACTAGCAAAACTTTTAACGGCAAAAATGTATTGTGAATAGAAAATACGTTTTGTAAAGTATTTTAAATAAAATATAAAATGCTTTTCTCAAAAGAGTATTTAAATGCAATATAAAAAAAGGTATTTTTGTTTTGTATTTACATTTTAAATGCAAGTATTTCAAATAAATCACATCTCTGGTGGTCATCTCTTTCCTTAAAATTGTATTAGGTCAAATTGGGATTGAGTTAGATTGACATTCAATAAGCATTTCAAATTGCAAGTCAGAATTTCAAGTTACATCTCGAACTTTCAAGTTGCAAGTCGAAATTAAAAAAAAAAAAAACATTTTAGCCCTTGTATGTCTTCATATACGTAGATAGGTAGATAGATAGATACTAAACCGAAAAAAATTTGTTTTGAAGGATTATCAATTGGTGGTGCTCCTTTAAGTGTTCTTTATAAGTTTCCCGAAGAAGAACCGATCAATAATGGGTAAGAGATTCCTTTGTTGAACCTTCTTTGTAAATTTATCTTATTTTCTTTCTTACCCCTTTTAGCGAAGAATCTGACATACCCTTGACGTGCTGTGTACAGGTAGGCAATTATTCCTATTAAAATTAATTTTTGTTTAAAATGCTCAATATTCTTTTCAGGCTCTTTCTGAACCTTGTAATAATAAAAATCCCCAAAATTCCTTACAATTATTTAAACAACCACAAAACCGCCCAAATTGGCTACCCACATACTCCCCCTTTCAGCAGACTCTTTACAATTACAATAATAATTCTTATTATTCCACTTTCCAGTCCAAGTCATGGCCACCCAATTACGGGATAACCCCACAAACCCTATATTACCCATCAATACCAGGTACCCCATATCTGTATAACCAAAATCAGTATGCATGTCAACAACCGTGGTATTCTAACATAAGAGTTCTGCAATCCCATTCTTCCCCGTCTCAATTTTGGTATCCCAGTAACCATCCCAACATTCTGGCTTTGCCGTCAACCAGAACCAATACAGCTAACGTTTCCAACAAAAAATTATCAACTTCTACGTCAGAGGTAAATCATTTCACTGTTGCCAAAGTTGCCGAAGAAATGCAGAAAAGTTTAAAACTATATCCTAACGATCAAAATTTGCTTGCAAATGAGGAAGAGACCGATCCAGAAGATGAAAATTTTTCCCAAAACTCCTCATTTGCGTAACTCATTTTTGTTGAAACATAAAACATAAGAACTTGATTGATTTTAATAATTTGTATTACCTACCATATGTTACGAAATTAATTTTCTTTATGGGAATTTTCAGTTATGTTCCTTTTTTATGAGTTGTAGAATTTAACATTTAGTTTTGTGCAGTTTTTATAAATAAAATAGATTGTTTATAATAACTACCTACTGTTTTATTGTTATTTTATTCATTGAAATATCGTCTACTATTTCTAAAGACAAAAGTACATGGTGTCAGAATGTGTGGAACAGACTATAGTTTCATGTTCGTAACTGTGAAGCAGTGTATGGTTGGAACATTCAAAATTGGCATAGTCCTCACGCCTACTTTTATACATGACAGACGTTGTAGGGAATATCGTAAATATAGAAAAGAGATGTCAGGTAGGAATTGCAGCGACACAAAAAAAAGGAATAACATTCCACCAATTAATGTGTAACAGAAAGAGAAGCAAACTTTAAAGAAAGTTCAACATTTTCTGGAATTCAGGAAAGTAAAGACGCTTGTTTACATATATAATTCTAACCAGGTAGTTATAAAGCCGACCCTGATCTGTACCGCTGCATCCTTTACTATTATTCGGTTATCTCTTTTCACTTTGTGCTACTCCTTTAAAGCATTTCCTTATTTAACAAGGGCATGTTCAAAACGCAGCAAATGGCTTCATTCCCTAGTGTAAACAAGAAAGAAAATACGTCCATTTTCACACATAATTTATCTTTGTCAATTTTAATTGTTCTAACTATAGCTGTATTTGAAAGGTATGACTTTTGTTTAACATTGTTGCGACAAACAGCTAGCACTAGCAGTCAGTTTTTTACCAACAGATTGTTGCCCTTGCTTATGAAAGTTTATAAATATTTTTACTTTAATAAGTCGAATAATACAGTGGTGAGTTTTATTTGTGTGATTTGTACTACAAAACACTAACGTGAAGCATTATCCACTTGTATCTACATAATAAGGTAAGTGAATTTTGACTTTGCTTACGATTGAAGTAAAATTGCATTAGTAGTTACATGTACTAGTGAAAGTTATACATATAATGAAATAAAATTCTGGTGGGGTAAATATGGCCTCCATTTGGACATAATTTTATCCTATGAATTTTCCGTGGACATATCATCAGGGTAGAAAATAATGTTAGGAAAGATATATTATTTTATGTCGAAAACTGATGGTTTCAGACAAAAACTTAATCAGAACAAAAAAAGCAAAAAAGAAGCTAAATTATATTTCTAACCTTTCGTCCAATCTCCAACTGGATCTGCTAATATCACTCCAGGCACTCAAACTTCTATTTCTGAAAGAAGTTCTACTCATTCTCCTTTCCTGCACATTGGGAGGGAAATTGACCCTACAGCGTGGGTTCAAGGGGGTCGTCGGAGTGATTGGAGATCTATCTCCATCTGAGAGCATCTCGTATTGATACGAAGACACTTCATCTCTAGTCGATTCACTTTCCATTCTCATTTAATGATTACTCAACTGCGTTTGTTATTTTACTTCACATTCACCAAAATGCACACACGTCTGATTTTTTGTTACTGTCTCCACTTATTCATTGAATTCTGTCTAATGGCGGTATATAAGAAAGATAGTCGATGATCTGTCAAAGATTTCTAAATCGAGATTCTCGTCTGACAGATTCCACAGAATACTCACCAAGAACACGCATTAATTCTTCTCATGTTGTTTACTCAGACACGAACACCATTTTGTTGGTCACTGGATTTTTAACAAAAGTATTTGAAGTAATGAAGTACTTTTGCCTACACAAAACTGAATATTTACCTTATTTCTAAAAAGCACAAGCTATTCTGTACATTCGCTTTAAAATACATGCTCTAAATGTAAAACTATTTACGTCGAATGAGCTTAATTGCATTGAAAGCTGCTGCACTTCAGTCAGTCATATTCGATTTGAATTTAAATCATCGTCGCTGGTTCAATTCCAACTATTATCATCTTTCCAAACATTGGTTAAGTACCTATACAATCCTGATCCTCGTCCACTCTGTACTAAATAAATTGCATCAGTTTTGTTTACCATCACGTTCAGAGATAAACAGGATTGAAGGTGATCATTTTTTTATTATCTGGTGAATTGATTATGATGTTTGTCTTGCAAATTTCGATGGTAAAAAGGACCATGCGTCATAAGTCAAAAAGTACCTATTTAATTTTGATAAGAATCCCCAAAAGATATGTAAATGGTTATTGTGCTAGGGTCAAGGAAAGCAGAACGAACAAGGACTGAAAGGGAACATTGTTGTCTATAAGAGGGAAAAGAAAATTAAAGTTTTAAGCTTTTGCGGATTGGAGATGCGGAACGCCTGTGAAATAAGCAAGCTTCTCAAATTCTGCATTAAATTTATAAGGAAATCTGGCACTTCAGTGGTAAATAAGCAGGAAAAGGGAGAGCCATTATCGCCAGAGCTCTTGAACATTGCGCAACATGGAGCTTTGAAATGGAAATGGAAGCTTTGAGCGACAAAATTCTTTGCATGAAATTACCGAAAAACGCTGAGCAGCACAACTTTAAACGACCCAACTAAGTTTTCTATTTTGACTTATTTTACTTCAACGTCATAAACACGAACATGCATCAACATGATTTTTAAGTTTCAAATGTCCAATTCTTCCCATCTCAAACCAATATTCGCATTTTTCGAAAACTAGACCAGCCTGCATTTTTGCCAGTAGTAATCTAGTATAGGCCTATTACTCCTGTTTTTGCTTCTAATATGACCTTTAGCCCTTTATGTCCTACCGATCTATCTCGTTTATTTCTTAATAGGTTTACGAAAGGCTTTGCTCGCGCTGAAACCTAACACCACTTGAAACTTATTTTTTTAACCCTCTAGAACAACTTTCTTTTCTGGATAAAAAGTACCCTGTGTCTTTTTCTGTATTCCTGAAAATGTGTGTACAAAGTTTCATGATAGGTTTTATCCGCGGCTTCGCTCGCGTTGATGTCCTAACAACATGACCATGATCATCGATGACCACTTGAAACTTATTTTTTTATCCTCCTGGAACATTTTTTTTTCTGGATAAAAGGTACCCTCTGTCCTTTCCTGTACCCCTAACAATGTGTTTACAAAATTTCAGGATTGGTTTTACCAGCGGCTTCGCCCGCACTAATCCTAAATACGTGTCAAAAAATATCATCACCACGTAAAACTAATCTTTCTATCCCTCGAGAACAGTATTTTTGTACTGGATGAAAGGTACCCTATGTCCTTTTCTGTTTTTCTGATAATATGTGTACAAATTTTAATGATGATCGATTGAGTAGTTAAGGCGTGAATTGGTAGCAAACAAACAAATAACTTGCATGGTGTCCTTTGTTCTCCTACTCCTTTCTATTATTTCCGCTTTTCTAATCCTTTCTATTGACTGTATTTTTATTATACTCCTATAACACGATATTTCAAACCTTTCTTTTCTTATTTTATATTTCTTATACACAAAAGTAATTTCGTTCTTTTCGATCCTGCGCTTTTGTTTTATTTTTACCTCTAACACTTTCTCAATCCTGTAACTCCCTAAATATCGAAAATCATGGACTTCTTCTAATAGTTTATCGTTTACTAAAATTTATTATCAGTCTTACCCCTACTTTTACATGCCCAAAAGGTATATTTCTTTGTATCCAACCTATACCTTTTGGGCATCAAAAGATATTTATTAAATTAAATTTGACAACAACAAATTTTACTCTAGTAAATTGGTAAAAAGAATTATTCTGTTTTATCACCCTCTGAAGTCTTTGTGTGTAGTTTTGTTCCTATTTTTACAAATTCTAGTAAAAACTCAATCCTTAATACCGTTGGTATAATAATTAATCCAATGTAAAAATCTAATTTGATTCTTTTTGACCTTAATGCAACAAAAGCTTTAGCTAGCGTACTTCGTTAGGCAAAGTTAATTTAACAATATCAAAACATGAACTGTTGTATATAGTAGAAAGTTATTCTTTTTTACAAAATGTAATAGCAACCTTCTAGTTGAGGAAAGATTGAAAAATTTTTTCTATTTGCAATTTTCCACCCATCAATAGACATTCATTAATTAAAGGGTGCTTTTCAGTAGAAAACATTCTTGTGGAAATAAAACTGCGTCGAGGAAAAGAGATCGGATTCTCGTTGTTGTTTTATTACCGTGAGAAAGGGATCATTCGTGGATGGTAATCCCCGTTTTTCAACGCACATACATACATATAGATAACTAGACGGCTTGGAAAATTGAAGACAGTGAGAGACGGATAGATAAACGAAAAGCAAAAGAGAAAGCCTTCACAACCCTCCTGCGAATTAATTACGTCACTAATTAGAGTTAAAACTGTGACGATCGTCGAACAATTTGTTCAAATCTTTACCACATTAATTTCAAAATGAAACCACTTAATCGTTAGCGGTAGGCCAAAGTAAATTCGCCCAACGTTTGTTTGTCAACTTTCTAATTCGTTTAGTCGTATACAAGGGCGGGATGATAAATTCATAGGCTGACCCATATATGACTCTACTAGTATCAAATCAGTATGATTTTTAGTTAGCCCTAACCTTCAAAAGACACGTGGATAAATTTGACAGCTGTTGCACTATTAGTATCTGAGTTATAGCAGTTTTAGTGAAAGAACTTCCATTGTTCGAAAAAGAAAGTGCTATTTCATCAAGACAATGCCCCGTGTCACAAATCAGTGAAATCAATTGCAAAATTACATGAATTGGGCTTCGAATTGTTTCCGCATCCACCGCACTCTCCAGATTTGGCCCTCAGCGACTTTTTTCTGTTCTCAGACCTCAATTTCGCGCCGATGAAGAGGTAATCGCCGAAACTGAAGCCTATTTTGAGGCTAAAGACAAATCGTATTATAAAAATGGTATCGAAAAATTGTATGACCGCTATAATGGTTGTATCGTCCCCGAAGGGAACTATATTGAATAATAAAATCAAATTCTATCAAAAAAAAATTTTTTTTTCTATGCTAGCCTACGAACTTTTCAGCCCTAGGTACAGTCGATAGCATTAATACATAAAACAAAAGTTAATTCAAA